CATGGGTGGGAAATCTGTGAAAGAGCCCCCTACCCACTGAAGAAGTCTTCTCCTGGTTACTCCCAGTAGGCACAGGGTGCCCCAGACATGTCCTGAAGACAAAAAAGGGAATCCTGTCAGCACTGACGAACCTGGAATAAGCCAGGCACAGAAAAACCAATACTTTATTTCATTTATACATGGACTAAAGAAGAGTGGACCAGAATGGTGGCTTCCAGTGCTGAGGGCTGGGGAAGTGGGGAGGTGATGGCCAATGGGATCTGTTTCAGTAGGATGGAGAAGTCAGTTCTGAAGATACTATAGAGCACACTGCTGATAGCTATATACTATACTGCAAGCTTACAATTTCTAACACAGTAGATCTTACATTCAGTTCCTACAAAAAAGAAAACAAAAATCAGACAAAGCCCCAATAATAATGATTAAGAAGGCACTTCTGGAGGACACTTCTGGAGGAGAGGGACATGCATATGACTCTGATGGTGGGGATGATTCCATGAATGCTTACTTATCCCCTATCACAACAAGCTGTGTGCATTAAATATACACAACTGTCATATCATATCTCAACAAACTGTCAATCATGTCTCAATAAAGTGTTTTAAATAAACATAAGAATAAAGAATAGGAAATTTTATCATTTTGTGAGTTGTCAGGGATGAATGCACAGGAACTCTTAGAGGCAGATTTTGGTAGTTTGTGCTTGTTGTTCTGAATGATTTGTTCGAAGTCCAGGTTGGAAAAAGGGTGCAAAAGGGTGAAAGAGATTGTGCATTTCAATCGGGAGCTATATGTGGAGCCAGGGCTGAGATTAGATTAGGTTCCTCACCAGTCAGGGGACCTGTCTTTGCCTGGTCTGGGAGAGCCAGCTGGGTTGGGTCACTGCATGGGGCTGGGATGCTGGGAGAGACCACAAGGCCTCTAGGTAGGGCCCCAGGAGGTTGAGCTGAGGTCACTAAGTAGCCAGGGGCAGGGAGCTGTCCTTGGCACTCCTGGGCTTAGGGGCTGGAGATGCCTCATTGGACTGTTCTCCTCCTGGGGGCCATTTATGACTGCTGAAGAAATCTAGGCACACCTCTGAAGCAAAAACTCCACCTCAGTGATCAGCTGTTTCTAACTTGTTGCGGTGGCCCTACCTACAGAAAGATCTTCTGTGTTCTGATTCTTAGGTCCCAGACACCTGACTGTCCCAACAAGAGCTGAGTTGCACCCAACTCTGCAGAATGGGCATGTGGTTGATGCTGAGGGTCTGGAGTGACAGGCAGGGCGGACTGACTCAGGTAGCAGGACCATTCCCATGGCTTTCCAGGACGCTGCTGCCCCCGTGTGGAAATTCACGGGAGCACTGCACAGCAAGGGCTGTGTGTCCAGAGTTAGAGCACTTCCCTACCAGGAGCAAGGCCTGGTTGCACCCAGCACACCCACCCTTCCCACACAACTGAACAGAGAGGTGTGCAGAAGAAGAATGAGCAGTCGTGGCAAAGGACGAGGAGGAGTAACCATCTGCTTGATGGAGTGTTGTTTGGATCCATCTCACAGCGGAGGATTCTGTAGCTGACATAGCAGCAGCACCTCTCCCACTTGGTCTACATTGTCACCAAGTCTTTGTGACACTCCAGCTTTCTGTCAGCACAGGCAAATCTTCTCACAATGGGGTATCCATGTCAGTGTTTGCACAGATGAGTATCACCAGAGTTACTCCAGGACACAAGGAGACAGCAGCCCACTGGGACAGCACATAGCCCAGAGGGCTCCCTGAGGGACATGGGAGGGATGCTGTGGACTGGGGTCAGACCTTCCCCATGTACAGCCCCTAGATATGTCCTGAGGTGGGAAGGAGAGGAGAATCCTCAGAGGTGGAGCAGGTGTGTGATGGTGGACACAGGCCTTGAGAAGACGCTGGGCACCCTGGGGCAGGAAGAAGTGGCCAGGAGCAGATGAAGAACACTGCTGGATTTGTAAGTTCAAACATCACTTCCTGGGAAGTGCAAATTGAAAGGACAGTGGGAGAGCATTGTATCCGTGTTAGAATGGCCCAAATCCAGAACTCTGACACCACCCAGTACTGGGGAGGATGGGGACAGTAGGAACTCTCATTCATTGGTGGAAGGAATCAAAATGGTGCAGCCACTATGGGGGGCAATTTGGCCATTTCTTAGAGAGCCAAGCACCATGCTCCTTGGTGATTACCCAGATGACCTGAAAACTTACCCACACGGATATCTGCACACAGATGTTCACAGAAACTTTCTTAATAATGTCAAAGTTTCAAAGCAACCAGGATGTCCTTTGGTAGGTGAATGGAAAAGCTGGGTGCATCTGATAATGGAGCATTCTTTCAGCGCTCAGAGTGGTGGCCTTGGCACATAAGAAGATGGGTGGGGCACCCAAGGCATGGCTAAGGGAGAAGCTGCTGGAGAGGCTGCAAACTGCCAGAGCCAGTGTTGGTCAAGAGCCAGCAGGTGGTGGGAAGATTAGTGGTTGCCAGGGGCTGGCAGAGTGAGAGAGATGAGTGGGTGGAGTGCATGGTGCTGCATGGCACTGCATGCTGCAAAGTCACAGAGTACCCAGCTCTTGGAAGGAGCTCTGTGGCCAACCATGGACCATGTGCAGTGCAGGCTCACTGATCCTAATAGAAGGACACTCTGCTGGGAGATGAACCACGGAGGAGGCTATGCACACGTAGGGACAGGGGTGCATAGGGCTCTCTGTACCTTTTCCTCACCTTGCTGCAAACCTAAAACTGCTCTGAAGATCTTAGGGAATGAGAAATGTGAGGTATCTTGATGATAGTGGGAATGTTGACACCTTCATTTGGGGTATTGTCGTGTAGTTCTGCAAGATGCTAAAGGACACAGGAAGTCTCTGTATTATTTCTTACAACTGCAAGTCAATTTTTAATGACCTCAAAATACAGAGTTTAGTTTTAAAAGTCTCCTCTGGCTGCAGTGGCAAAATCCACAATCTTTCCAACAAAGAAGAAGTACACAGCTGTATTTTTAAAAATGTATTTTGGTGTTTACCTCACACTGTATATGGAAAAATCAAATCACAATGAACCACATGTTAGCTGCAGGGTGGGCTGAACACTCGACCCCCACCCATCTGGTTTCTTATTGCTTGGGTGGGCTGAACACTCAAACCCACTCAAGGCTGAACACTTGACCTCCACCTGTCTGGTGCAACGGAAACCTACATCAGGCCTTTGCCTGGTCTGCCTGAAGGCAGAAGATGACATCCTTAGCAACTATTGTATGATCCAATCACTGTACCATAAGGCAGCTTGCAGACCCAGAGACCCCATTAGATTTTGGCTATAAAAACTCCCTCCTTCTGGGCCCTCCCCCCACTCACTTTGCGAGCGCACTGCTCTCTCTTCTCTCTCTCTCTCTCTTTCTCTTCCTTCTCCTGTGGATCAGACAATGCCACAACAAAGATCTCTTGGTCGCTTTGAGTGTCATAGTCACTTTCCTTTCACCACAGGCCTAAATGTAAGATCCCAAACTATAACATATCTTGAAGAAAACACAGGGATAAATCTTTGTGACATCAGATTAAATAAGTTTTAAAGAGTACACCAAAAGCAGGTAACTCAACAGAAGAAAGGGGGGTGGTATTGCTGAGGAAAACACCTGAACAAACCATCTCAGTCACTCCTCTCAGCTGACCTGGGAATTGCTGGGCAGCACACCATGAGCCTCCTGCTGGCTGTGCTGTAGCCACACCTCTGGAGTGTGGGTTCAAATGTTGCTGTGGTTACTTGGGACCTGAGGCCTCTTTTGCTAAAACCCTAACCCCTCATGGCATGGTGCTGTCTGATAGGTGGGAGGAAAGGGCATGGCCTCTCTGTTTTCATATCCTGTGCTTGGTCACCTTTATGTTAGATTCTGCTCTGCTCTGCATGTAGACCTATTGTCCAGAAACATTCTGCCCTAGACTTGCCCAGGCTCTCTCTCCCTGAACTTCAAGGCTAAAGACACCCCAGCACCATGAGTGAAATCATCAAGCCATGAGAGTGAGAAAGAGGCGGTACAGAGTTCCAGAAAAGAGACACAATTCTCCCTTTTCCAGACTGCTGCTGCCTGCCATTCCTGTCCTGGACCTGTGCCCCTTGACACCTGAAGCCATCAGCCTATCATTTCCTGCCATCCTGCACCTGTGGCCCTGAGCACCTGGAGCCATTAGCCAGTCCCTCCTTCCTATTCCCTTCCTGCACCTGTGGCCTTCCACACCTGCAGCTGAGCAGCTGATTGGTTAGCAGAGCACTTTCTTTTCCACTCTCTGGCCGATAACGCCCTTCCTGTTCTCCAATGCTAGAGTCTGAGATATTGATTTTAATGTGAGATGAACCTCCAAGGTGAGTTTGGTAACAAAAGGGCTTTTGCCATTTTTTTTTCAGTATATGGTGCAGTTTTATTTTTCCAGATGTATTTAGGTACAATTGGCAAGGAAAGATTATATATGGGGGGAATCAAGGGAAGAATGGAGGAACTTTGGATTAGGAGAAGGGGTGTGAGGGGAGGGGACAGAGTATGGGGGTGGGAAAGACGTGGAATGAGACAGACATTATTACCCTATGTATGGGTATCACTGCACAAATGGAATGACTCTACAACAAGAGAAATGAAAAGTTGTGCTCCATTTGTGTACAATGAGTTGAAACGCATTCTGCTGTCATCTATAATTAATTAGAACAAATTAAAAAATAAACAAGATTGTATATATTTAAGATACACTAATGATTTGATGTATATGTATATACTTTATTTGTATAATTATGAAATGATTATCACAAACTAATTAACATACCTGTCACATCACACAGTTCTAAGACATTCTTTCTTAGCAAATTTTGAGGACACAATACATTGTTATTAACCATGGTCATTGTGCAGCATTATGTTAGGCCACTAGAGCAGTGGTCAGTTTTCATTGCTTTAACAAAACACCTGAGATAGACAACTGAAATAGTGTCAGAGGTCTCTGTCATGGTCACCGGCTCCATCATGTGGCTTGTGGTGAGGCAGCACATTATGGACAGAGGAAATGGTGGAGCAAGACTGCTGAGCTTGGATCAGGACGGAGAGAGAGTGGCAGCATGGGGACAAGAGGCAGCCTTCCAGGCACACCCTGTGATCTGCTCCATCCGCGAGGCCATCTCCTATGGTGCCACACCTCCCAGTAAATGGAGGCCATACACAGGCCCACCCAGGCGAGGCCCCAGGCCTCATGGCCCTCCTTGCACACTGCCACAGGGGAGCAGCCTTCCACACAGGGACTTTGGGGGACAGTCCCAGTCCAGATCATGACAAGAGCTTCTGCATTTTATAACTGAAAGTTTATACTCTTGCACCAACACCTTCCCTTTCCCTCCCCAGCCCCACCTTTCTAGATGAATAATTAAGGAAATAAAAAGACAAGCCACAGTGTGCCAGAACATTTTACAGAACACAGATTCAGTGAAGGGCTCGTATGCAGAACACATGAGGAGTTCTTATAATTCGGTCATGCAGAAACAGAACCCAGTACTAAGCCATGGGCAGATAACAGAAGCAGACATCCTGCTGAGAGGATATATGGATCTTCATAAGCACAGGAACAAACCCTCAGACCTGATGTCAGTAGAGAAAAGCAAACCACATTGCCACTTAGGACCAAATCACACATGCAGCGTCTCAGGTAAAGTTAGGGCTGAGATCCGGGCCACCATGACTGCAGTGCAGGCAGGAATCAGAACACTCAGGACTCTGGTGCCTGCTAGTGAGAAGGTAAGGCCCTGCACCACGCTGGAAAACAGCGTGGCCATCTCCTGTCAAATTAAATGTCAACTGTCATCTCCTGAGAGAAGTGAAGCATGAATCTGCATAGAAACTGGATGTGGACCTGTGACACTGTTACTTACCATACCCAATGGCTCATAGCAACTCAAAAAACTACTCAGTGATGAATGTGATAGATTTTATTCTGCAACAGGCAACAGCATGGGTGAATCTCAAGGGCTATGTTGAGGGAGGGAAGTTGTTATCTTGTGGACAGGGTTTGAGAGTGACTCCAGGGGTCATATGCTAGAAGCTTGGCTCCAGGGTGGGAGGCAGGAGGTGAGAGGTCCTTGGAGAGGTAGGGCCTGGTGGAAGATGCTGAGGTCCTTGGGCTAAGCCCTCAGAAGGGAAAATGGGTGCTCTCATTGACCTAGCCCCACAAGAGCAAGTTGCCTTTGGAGAGCGGCCAGCCTGCCCTTTCCTCAGGGTTCCTGTCTCAGGAGCCATCTCTCCTCTCACATGGCTCCTGGTATGATGCTGTAACATGGAACATGGATGTCAGGTGTGTTCTTTGTTTCATGAATTCAAAGAATGAAATCCACAGACACAAGGGTAAGAGAAAATTAACAGGATTTATTACGGAAATAGGAAGCAAGCAGGGCTCCAAAAGGGGAGGGGTCCCAAGAGAGGGGTGTCCACAGATGTCAGCTATCTGGGCTGGTCTGTCCTTATAGATGATTGGTGGAATAGAGGATTCAGAAAGGGGACAATCAACTCTATTTTGCCTTCTTCAGGAAATCTGGAGAAAAGTGATCTCTAAGCCTTAATCAGCACATGAATGGGAGTGAAGCTCTGTTGCAGGAGAAAGTACCATTGATGGTTGGTCCTGTCTAGGGGCTAAGGAACTATCCTTGAGGCTACAGGTAGCTCAACTTCCCAATTCTCTCTTCCCCTTTTCTTTTCCAAGACCTTTTTCCTGGCTGCCTGTGGGTGGTCTTTCTTTCAGTCTAATGACAACCACCAAGATAGAATGAGGCCAGAGAGTCCTCCAGCATCATGCTGTGTGGACCTCAGTCTCTGCACTGAGAGCTACAGGAGCCTCTTATTTACAAGTCTCCCAGCCACAGGTGTCTTGTATGACAGAGGACAGTGGACTACCATGGGAGTCCAATGGACAAACACAGGGTCTGCTTCCATGAAATTCCAGCACAGGGTAAAGGGAACACCATGTAGCTATGTCAGAAAATCAGGAAAACCGGTGGATGAATGATGTCACTAAATGTAATGGATATTCCAAAGTGAGACCAAAGATAATTAAAAGACAACTAGAGCTGTGGAGGGCAGATCAGGACTAGTAGGGGTGGGAGTGGAATAGGGGCTCCATTTCTACCAGACTTGAGGGAATGTCTAGTCTCTTGATGGTGCCATAGCACCAGTGTATGCTGTGACCAAATCCACTAGCATGTGCCCTTAGAACCAGCACACTCACTGCATACAAGCATCACACTCATAAGAGAAGAACATTGTTAAGAAAGGCTTTACACTGAGGTTGAGTGAGAGGGCTATGAGGAGGGCAGGAAGATGGACTTTTATGTCACCCTTCCTATTCCTGTCCATATAAATCCTGGCCTCTCCCAAAGGCTGAGTCTGGACCCCTGCTTCCCTGGACTGTCTGGCCTCTCCACTGGTAATCCATGCCTGTGCTCTGGATTACAAACCTAGAGCACTAGGAGTTCCTTATTTGTGTGTGAAGAACTTGTGTCTCAAAACATCTACAGATCCCTTCAGGGCTCTTGCTCACCACACGTCCCTGCAATTCTGAGGAGGTGCCAACACGTGGAATAGTGTGCCAATCATCTGGCCAGAACTCTGGGTGGATTCAGGATCCCCAAACATGTCCAGGTCCTGACCCCTGGCTTCTGAGAACAGGACTTCATCTGGAAACGCCTTTGCAGAATTAATGAAGGCAGGAACCTCAACAAGAGATGATGCATTGAGGTGAGTCCTAATGCCAACGACATGTGTCCTTTTGAGAGAAAGGCCAGGGGATTTTAAACACAGGGAGAAGTCAGTGGTGTGACGAAAGAGGCAGCGCTCGGAGCAGCAGTTCTATGAGGCAAGGAAGACTGGCAGCCCCAGAAGCTGCAAATGAGCCCAGCCTGGATTCTCTTCATAGCCTCCAGGGGAAACCAGCCTTGTTGACCCTTGATTTCAAAGCTGGGCTTCAGAACTGGGAAGAACAGACCCTGTTTTGAGCCCTGTGCCTGGCTCTGCAGCAGGCCCAGGGCACACGGCAGGCCTCCTACAGTGGGCTGGGCTCTAAAAGCTCACCCCCCACTGCTGCCTGGTGGGCTTTGCCACTGGCAGTAGGAGGAGGGTCATGGCTAGACACAGTCAAGCCTGTCCCTCTCAGGGCCACCCAGCAGCATGGCACCTGGCCAGACTGCATTCCCACTGGCCTGGGTGTCCTGAGCAGCACCTCTGTGCCTTCCTTTGCTCTCTCTCCCCTCTGCCCTCAGCCATGGTAGTTGGCAGCTCGTTCCTCCCATGTTTCCTTGTTTCTGGTCTCCTGGGTTCTTCAGTGCCTCATTGACACTTGCTTCTAGTCTACTCTCTCTGCCAAAAGGCTTATGTGGTTCCAGTCCTGGCTGAATGCTGTCCAATGCCCAGGAATCTTTGGCTTGTTCTGACTTCTCACAGAGAGGGAAGAAGGGACTTGAGGTAGACCAGATGTCTGAGTGATTGCTGTAGGGAGCAGAGGTGAAGAGGGAGAGGTGGAAGAGAGGAGAGGAGGAGAAGGAGAGAAGAATGGCCAAGATGATGGAGGAGGAGGAGGGGGAGGACAGGAGAGGACGGCTGGCAATTATTGTGTGACTACTACCTGTCCAACTCGAGCTGGATATTTTACATATGCACCCAGGTACGTGGCAGAAGTAGACAATGCTGAGCTGATAATGGTGTGGTTTTATCACAGCAGAGCTGCCATCACAAAGTTCTGCAGATGGAGTGACTTACACAGCAGAAAGCCCTTTCCTCTCACTTCCAGAAGCTGAGGTCTGAGACCGAGTGTGGGCAGCTTGGTTCCTTCTGAGGCCAGATCTGTGGCTTGTGAGAGCGCCCGTCTGAGTCCTCACAGGCTTTCCCCTTCATGTGCCTGGGTCCCAATCTCTTCTCACAGGAACACCAGATCTGTGACATCAGGACCACTCACATGAAGGCACTGACTTCCTCTTGAAGGCCCATCTGCAAGGGCAGTCACATTCTGAGGTCCTGGGCTTAGGAGTTCAGCACAGGAATTTGGGAAAGGCAGCAAGCCAGCCCTGACACTGCCCTCATGCACACAGAATATGATTGATGTCACCAGGAAGCAGAAGCCAGGGCTTATGGGTGCTGTTCTCCCTCAGCAGAAGTCTCCAGGACCTCTGGGGGAAAGGACAGGCCTCCAGGGAGGGCTTGTGTCTTCCTGGGTCTCTCTGGCCACTGAGCAGATGGTCAGGGGTCTAGGATCATGGGTCCAGAGGCAGAAGAATGGCTGCAGGGGGCCAGAAAAAGACAGTTCAGAGAACCTGTAGACCAGGGACCCCTTGGTGGCATTGTAGAAGGAAATCTCCCCTGCGTCCCAGTCTAGGAGGATGCCCAGCTGTTGGAGGGGCTGGGAAGGAGAGAGGCGAGTTCTTGGATAGGAGAGAGCCCAGAATCTCTTCTTATACAACTCCACTGCCCAGAGGCCATGCTGGGGGGATTTGGGGATCCAGCCTTCTCGATCTATGTTCTCCAGGCAAACCCCCAGAATCCAGGCCTGTCTGTCTCCCACCTCAACTTCCCAGTAGTATCTCCCAGCCGAGAACCGCTCTTGGGCCAGGACACAGGGGTCCTGGTCAAATCTCTTAGAGTTGGGGAGCAGGTACTGGTCGAAGAGCAGCCTCTTCACACTTTTCTGATCCTCTGACACCATGAGTTTCGGACTTGCTGTGTCAGGGTCCAGTGAGGGGCTCACTGTGGAAAGAGGAGAGGGTCAGTGGGTCTGCACCCTAAGTTCCTTGCAGACCAGGACTCCCAGGGTTGTTTCCTACATCAGGGTGTCCCTTGCTCTAGAATCCCACTACTGTCCCAGTCCTGTGCCAAAAGCCTGTCCAAACAGCCTGTTCCCTGGCAGAGGAGCACACCAGACTGGGAGGCAGAACCAAAGGGTTCCTGGGAGCTGTGGGCACGACTACACCCAGTGTGGCCCTGCTAGCTCCCAACATGTGCCCTGGGCTTCCTTCGTGGCTAGTGTCTGTGTGTGAATGACAGAGATGGAGAGAGAGAGAGAGACAGGAATGCAGAGATAGTGAGAGGGACAGAGACGGCAATGCAGAGATAGTGAGAGAGACAGAGATGGTAATGCAGAGACAGAGACAGTAATGCAGAGAAGTGAGAGGGAATGCACTACACCCAAACCTGAATGGATACAATATTATTAAATGCCATCATGAAATCTGCGGGACATCCTCAGTTCCCAGATGTCTCCAGTCCTCCCATCACTCTCTGATGCCCAGCAGCCTTGGCTCTCCCTTCCCACCTCTTTGCTCTTCAGTCCTCACTAAGGAGATTGTACCCGGAGATGGAAGGTCACTGTTTCTCCACTGTCATGGTAATGGCCTCCCCTGGGTGCCCAGTCTTAAAAAAACGGCCTCCTCCCAGCACCTGCCACATGCAGGATATCTTTGTCAGCACACCTCCCTCTCCCAGGAACTCAGAAAGGAACTAAGGTCTCCTGGGGCAACTAAAGTCTGACTTATAAGGATGTGGCATCAGCAGTTGACACAGTACTTCTGCTCTCTGGAACAGATGTAAGCATCTCTTATAGACACATGAATGCACACACATACATATACAAACATCCAGAAATACATTCACAGACATAAGCATGCACCTCACAGATACATACACACATGCACATGCATACACAAATGTACACACACATGCATATACACTGACACATCAAGACAGTGCACACAGGCACACAGATGAAATTGGATGCACATGCATGGACATGCATGCATTCACATGTACATATGTGCACCTTCATAACACATGCATGCACACATGATTGCACAGGCATGAACTCACATGCATGACCCACACATGTAGATACCAATGTGAACACATATGTGCAAACACACAAACCAAAGACATGCATCACGCATGAACACTCACCTGCATGCACGTATGTGTGCACAAACACACAAGCACACATGAAAACTGCACACACAGGCACTAATGCTTGTACACATGCATATACACACATGTGTGGACACACATATATGTATACACTCATGCACAGACATGGTGGTCTGTGTATACATGTGGGGATGAATATCAGAAAGCAGAAGCCAGAGACGTCCTCATGTGTGTCCCTCTCTCACCACCCCCTTGGAATTTTTTATTTCTGTCATGTGAGAGTGGGTGAGGGTCAGAAAACAAGACCCATAAGCTACTAAGAATCCTACCCTTTTCTTTTTCTTTGAGACTAGTTCTGATTTCAGGGTCTCCTGGTGTCACTAGTCATTTTTCATCAATGCCAGATGGGCTCAGGTCTGTGCTTCTGGGTCTTCTCCCTGTGGGGAGCTGGTCAGGGGTGGATCTTTGGTCTACAAATGCATAAGGTTTGGAGGCTGTACCTGAAGTCACACTCTCTAACCCGCAGGGAAACAAAAAGACCCTATACTGTGGGGCCCTGCTTATGAAATGGGGCTGAACTTGTGTACTGCAGCCTCTAGTCTGCCTCACAGGGCTCCTCTCAGAGTGTCTCTGGAGATGAGAGCTGGAGACTGTGCCTGGTGCCTAGTGACACAACAGGAAGGCATTCACTGCCAAGGACCACTGTCCTCAGCCTCCCTTCAGCCTTCCCCAGTTTGTCATGACACAGCCTTGACAGCCAGCAAGGGGACAATCTCTATATCCAACACAGGAGCCTGAGGCTAGGGACAGGTCCCCAGGCCCTGAGTGAGCTTTCAGCTTCCAGAACTGGGAGCTAAGGAAACCTCTTTTCTTCATATATCACCCAGCCTTGGGTATTTAGGAAGACCAACCAGGCTGCCCGGATTATGTAGTGAAGACTCCTTCAGAGATAAGGGTTTTCACTGTGTGGATCATATGGGTAGCTCTGGAGTTGGGATCCCTACTGATCATTCTGTTCCTGCTGGGTTTGAGGACAGACATCCTCTGCTCTGGGCTGCGTGTTGAGGCCCCGTGCTTGGGGGGCACCACGTGTCCTGCTAAGCCTCCTACTCACCGTGGAATAGCTCAGCCTTGGTACTGCTGGCTTGTGGCCTCTGTGCTGTTTCTTCTTGCTCTGTCTCTTCTAGCAGTGTCTGGGAACTTTTCTTTTGCTGCTTCCCTAAACAGCAGAGTACTCCAGAGACCAGGAATCCCAGAGCAGCGAGGGCCAGAGACAGAGATAGTTGCCACTCTGTGAGAGGAGGCCTGGAGAGGGGAGCTGAGGATATAGGAACTGAGAACAGCAGTTCTGTATTAGCGTACATGGTGCTGAGGTCAGAATGGGGGGGCTCTCCATGAGTGAACCCAGATGTAAATTGTGGGTGCCAGGTGGTAATGAAATCTGCTCTGGGGCAGGACTTTTGTATTGAGAAAGCTACACATGTTCGGGGTATATGGAAGATCTATGTACTTTCTGCTCACCTTTGCTGTGAGCTAAAACTGCTCTAAAAACAGTCCATTTTGTAAAGAGTTAAGAATTACAAAAACAACATGGGGGTGAAACTTCTTGTTTCCACATAAATGCAAAGCTCCCCTGGTACTCTCCCTGTACCCCATCTCTGCCCCATCCTCAGCTATTACTTAAATCTGCATCCCCAGAGTTCTGCCAGGCTGTGCACAGAAACTAGTTCCCACCAGATCTTACTTGGAACCCTGGAGTCCTGGCACAGGTCTTAGTACTGTGCTGTCAGGGCTGAACAGACACTCACCAGGCAGCCAGCTCTCAGCCTCCTTCCTCTCGGGGAGGAGGGGGTTGGAAATGGAGCAGGACAGACCCTGCACAGCCCTATTCTGGACGGTCACCCTAGACACCACAGCCACGAGGCCCGTGGTGGCCGACAGTGAGAAGTTGGTCACAGCAGGCACTGGTTGTCCTCTGAGGTCTCTCCACTCCACCAAGGGCTCTGGGTACCAGCCTGCTGAGGTACATTTCACTTGGATACCTGTGCCCTGGTCATCCACCACTTGCACTCTGGGCTTTGAGCCCAGCCCTGGAGGAGAAACATCAGTTGGGACGTTGCCACCACAGCTGCTCCATTAAAACACATCTTGAAGACTTTAGTGTGTATTACCAACTGTTCACAAGCCATCACTCCCTGAAGTAAGCGCATCCCTAACAGGTACGCCTTTGTCCTAGATAAAATAGCAGAGTGGGGCAGGGACAGTTCAGCAAGACAGAAGGGGTTCCTGTGTCACACAGGTGAGTGAGTGCAGGGAACAAGAAGGAGCTCGCTGGCCTGCCTCCAAAGAACAGCCCTGAGCCACCCAGGAAAACTGTACCCCAAATGCCTTTGTCCCTCCATGCCCTCCTTCTCAGCCTGCCTCAGCTCCCCTCTTATCAGTGCAATAATATAGTAAAGAGAAAGATCAGAAAACAGCTGTGCTTCCAGAACTATGTTCCCTGAGAAGCGCAGTGATGTGCAGACCCTGGGGTGGCCTTGCTTGGGACTGTGTGTCTAGCAGGTTCTCAAGCTGTAGGACTCTGGTCACACCACCAGGATTGGGGCCAGGTGTGAGGAAGCTCCCCAGCAGGGCAGATGGCCACATGCTGCCCTTACCTGCCACTGTCAGCCAGAGTGTGGCCTGGTTGGAGGAAGTGCCCTCCTTGAAGAGGCAGTGATAGGTGCCGTTGTCAAACAGAGTGACGTTATGTATCCTCAGTGTGGCCTCGCCCCTGGCTACATGGTCACTCACAAAGCTCGTCCTTCCCTGATACTCCACCATCTGCTCTTGATGCACGTCCTCCCCATTCCTGTGCACGAGTACAGCTGGGCTGGACTGGTTCCTGTACCACCTCAGCTCCATGCCTTCAGTGCTGATGCTGGGGACCAGTCGACATGACAACTCTGCATCTTCCCCAACCAGGGCCAGCACGGGGGCATGAGGCCCTTGGACTTGGAAATCAGCTCTTCCTTAGGGAGACAGACCCACGAGGACGGAGTCAGGCCTCGTGTAGGGAGATGGTGCTCCCTACCCCACAAGGCCTTTGAGGGTGCAAGCGTCCTCTAAACCCTGCACTGCAGCAAGGCCTCAGCTGGCCTGTCCCTCCACCCTGGGTCTCAGTGAGACCTCAACTCGTCCCCACCTAGGAATGTCCCTCCTGGTGCCCTCCAGAGCTGGCAAGGGAGATTTCCTACCATTTCCAGGAGGTGGGAGCTGAAGGAAGAGGAAGGCAACAGTGCAGCGCAGTAGAGATGCACGTCCACAGCGTGTCTTTGCCATCCCTGTTGGGGACAGAGACACATGAGGTGGGACGTGCATTGAACATGGAGGGAGAGAAGCCCCCTTCTCATAGGAAAGAAGGGGAAATTGCCCTGGCAGAGAGAGGTGGTCCATCAGATCCACATGTAGCCAGCAAGCAGGCCAACGACGCTTTCTCTCATGTCGCCTTCTCGAGATCATCTTCCTCTTATGTGCCTCCCCTGCAGAATGCCATGGAGATATCCCAGGCCTTATTCTCCTGCTCGTGTGAGGGTTTTCACCCAGTAAGTAGTTCTTTACACCCACCAATCACCAGAAGGTGTGTGGAAAAACCCAAACTCCCACCAGGCAAATCTGAGGTCAGAAGGATGACAACAGCCCCCTCCCCCAAAGCCCCTTCGCCTGTTGTCCTACAGGACTTCTACAGCTGGGTGCAGGACATGGTCCCTCCTGACAGGAGTTCAGCCACTGTTGCTGGCTGTCCTGAACTGACTGGGAGAGCAGGGGTGTGGAAGCCTTCTGCCATCCTGGGCAGATTCTGACACAGCCTCCCGGGGTCTGCTCTTATGTCTGGATGAACAGGGAGGCCTGCAAAGTTTGGCTCTTGCCTTGGAGGAAAGCCCATGGGGCTCTGTGCCCCCCGAGCATGGGGAGAGAGTGAGGAGGCAAAGACTCCAGGAGGGCCTTACACAGAGGACACTCACCTTGCTCTGATGCAGCTGCCCTGCTTCCTGGGGACATCTTGGTGACTTTGAGGGGATCAGCCTGGTTCTTGGCAAATCCAAGGCAGGGACAATGTCTACAGGTAGTGATCAGAGAGAGAGCCTGGAGATCCAGAGGAAGCGCCAAGCTCCAGAGCTTCTGCAGAGCCCTTATTACTTTTCGCAAAAATAACCAACTGTGCCTTTTTGGCAGCTGCAACAGATTCCAACAGGCAGGGGTGTGGCCAAGAGTCCTGAAGGTGGATGAAGATGCTGGTAGCAGGAGATAAGGGAAGAGTCTGAGATCAAGTACGGCCCCTGGAAGATGGCCAGCAGGACCAGCTTGGGGCCACCAGGAGCCCTAAGGAGGGGCTCAGATCACCAAGGCTGGGAGCCCAGCCAACCTCCAGAGCCAGAGAGTTCAGATAAAACTCCATGGTTATCTGGAGACCTTCAGAGCTGCTGAGGGCTGCAGTTCCTTCGGGAAAGTTCTCCAGATCATGGTGACCTCGGTCTGATTCTGGCATTGTCCCTGGAGACACTCTTCCTCATTGCTTCCCAGTCACTGAGACTGTGTGTCTTGGAGTCTGAGTCTGTCCTCCCTGGGCTGCTTGCAGATCTTTCACTGGGTTCCCTTCACCCCTTAAGGCCTGCCCACACCGGCTTGTTCTGCCTATTCTCCCCTCAAGCCTCACACACCCTTGAAAGGTTTAGTGGGAGAAGAGCCACTGGGAAGGCTGCCTGGGCATCAGGGGATGGTATCTGGTTTCACCCAACAGAGGTGTTAGGGGCTCTGAGATGCTCACTTACTGCTGAGAAAGTCTAAGCCCCTGATGCCTCCCTACCTTCTCAGGAGGAACCTTCTCTTGTAAGTCAGCTGTCCTCTCTCAGGTAGAAACACAAGGATCACACCTTGTTTATGTGGTCCTGTGAGTGGCTCTCACCAGGCAACCTCTCTCACTTGTCCTTTGGAGTTGGGAAGGAAGGCTTGGGTCCTGACCACCTAGAGTACTCCAATGCAGTCATTAGGGAGCACAGTAGGGAGGTTCCTATAGTGGAAGCACCGGAGATCCATCAACCCACTCCACATAGGTGTAGAGGACATGGGATGGTATGCCTGAGAGGCACCAGGTTGCCATGCTGCCTGCAGCCCTATCCATGGCAGCCAGACCTAGAAGCAGCCAGGCATCCAGAAGATGGGTGGCTAAAGGAAACATGGAGACTTCACAGGATGGGAGACACTCATCCATCTAAGAAAGAGGTCCTGTCCTCTGTGTTGACATGGATGGAACCAGAGATCCTCACACCAAATGACCAGAACTAACACACAAAATCAGCCCTGTAGGGTCTCCAGAAGATGTGGGAGTTCAGGGCCTAGGGCATCCATTGTGAGGAAAGCAGGGCAGAGGGGCGGGGAGGCACAGTTGGTGCTTAGAAGCTAGCAGAAAGGGTGGTGAATATCTGAGAAGACCTGCTCCCCTGGTTCAAACATGGCACAGTGTACACATGCACCCAAACATCACGGGACACCCCAGGGATAAGTGACACTTTATATACCTTTACAAATTTTACATTTAAGGAATCACAGTGTGCTCCCAAGATTAGCAGAGCAAATTGTGATAGAAGCAGATGTGAAGGGCTAAGTGCTAGCAACATCTAGAGAGACTGGGAACCATCCTTTCTATGGAGTGGAAATCTGTCTGAAGGCCCAGGGAGGGTGCTCCTTGCTAAGCAGGGCTCACTGTGGTGCAGAGCCTCCAGCAAAAGCTGCCCAGACACAGGTGCCTCAGGTACCAGGCTTGAAGTCCTAAGGCAGGAGGACCACAAACTCAACACCATCCTCTGTGGGACTCCATCTCCATGAAGTGTTCAGAAGGGGTGAGTCCAGGGAGAAAGAGTTATGGGGGTGGGGGGTGGGGGGAGGAAGAAACAGAGGGAGATGGGGAGAGGAGGAAAGGAGAGGGAGGGAGGAGAGAGGGAGATAGGGAAAAGGAGAGAGAGGGAAAGAGAAACAGTGAGTGAGGGGGAGAGGAAGAGAGAGGGAGAAGGGAAGGGGAGGGGGGAGAGGGAGGGAGAGAGAGGGGAATGGAGGGAAGGAGAGAGAGGGGAATGGAGGGAAGGAGAGGAGAGAGGGAGGGGAGGAAGATGAGGAGAGGGAGAGAAACAGTGAGAGGGGGAGAGGAAGAGAGAGGGAGATGGGAGATGAGGAAGGGGAGGGAGGGAGGAGGAGAGAGGGAGATAGGAAGGGGAGGAGGGAGAGTGAGAGAGGGAGGGAGAAGAAGATAGATAGGGAGGGGGAGGCAAGGGAGGGAAAGAGAGAGGGAGAGGAAGATAGAGGGGGAGGGGCAGAGAGGGAGGGAGAGAGGGACATGGGAGAGGGGGAGAGAAGGGAGAGAGGGAGAGAGGGAGGGAGAAGGAGAGGGAGTGGGAAGGAGAGAGAAAGGGACACGGGTAAGGGTGAGGGTGGGAGGGAGAGAGAGGGACATTGGGGGTGAGAGGGTGAGAGAGAGAGGGAGGGAGGGAGAAGGAGAGGAAGGGAGAAGGACAGAGGCAGAGGGAGGGAGAGATATGGGGGAGGGTGGGAGGGAGACAGAGGGGCATGGGGGTGAGAGGGAGAGAGGGAGGGAGAGGGAGGGAGAGGGAGAGAGAGAGAGGACAGAGGCAGAGAGCCAACAAAAACTAATTTTGGGTGTCAAGGACGGGACTGGGCAGGAGGTGGAAGTGGAAATGAGTGCAGCTGCTTTGTGGTTTGGAGGTTTTACCTGAGTATGCTGGGAATGTTTTGAAATCAGAGATGGTAAAGTGGCACCCCCTTTCTCCACAGAAAAGTCTTAACTGGGCTTCTCCAGAAATCTTCACCATGGTTGACTTTAGGTCTGTCAGCAAAAGAGTCTCTACAAAAGAGTTCAATGTAGAAAAACTTCCTATTTTTGTGTTGCCCTGTTTTACTTGGCCACTGGCTGATAAGATACCAGTACTCCAGGTGCTGGACACCCCCTTACTAGTTTTCACAAATATATCCAGTAAAGTAGCTGGTAGAAATGTGCAAACAAGGCCTCTGGCCTTCAGCTGGGCTTCATAGAGATGTCTACATTTTTAAGATAGGTTATCAACTGGGCTCCATGGTAACAGCTGGCAGCGGGAGGAAAGAAAGGGGAGAAACAGCTCTCTCCTTCTCAGGTGTTGTCCTTGAAGGGTTAACTTGCCCAAAACAGTGAAAGAAAAAGCTGCTTTATGTGAACTTCTGCAGACTGTGAACTTCTGAGTCCCTCCCCTTACATGCTAGGTATAAAACTCTGAAAATACCTGACTCAGGATTCAGGGGATTGATTAATTACAGCAAAAGCTGTGCCCTCTGAACCTGGCTGCAGCCAAATAAAACTGTTTCCTGCTATCTTCAGTGCCTTGCCTCATTTGTCCCTACAACAGTGGTAGAAAACATTGTGTCATAAATACCACGGAATGCTATACTTTAAGTGGTTAATTTTGTGCTATGTGAATTTCAATTCTATTTTTTTAAAAAAAGAAAAACAGGGATAAAACAGAATAAGGAAAAAAATCAAAAAGGAAAAAAAAATTTAAAAAGGTACATAATTACCCACTCAAGAGGAGATTAATTTTTTTAAAAAGAAAGAAAAGAAAAAAGAACCCTTCCCAGCAACTTCCCCTAAACAGACCTGTGAGCTCTCTGGGCGCCCTCTGCAGGGATCCTGGATCCTCTGCCAGCCCTCCCCATTCCAACCTGGCCCCTCTTCCTCCATCTCCTCCCCCTTCTTAGCTCTGACCCCTCTTCCTCTTCCTCCTCCCTAGCCCCAGGCCCTCTTCTCCCCCTCCCCCCCTCTCCCTCTCCACCTCCTCTCCTTCCTCCTCTTTAGCCCTGGCCCCTCCTATTCCTCTTCCCTTCCTCCCCCTCCTCTCTCCCTCCCCCTTAGCCCTGGCTCCTTCCATGTTTCTTCAGCACATTGAACCTAATGTCCTTGAAGAATTCTAGCATTTTCTCTCCTCTGTTGGTGGTCACACACTGGAAATAGTGATAGCAGATCTGGTCCACTTACCTCAGGATTCTCTTCTTGAACCACTCTGCTTTAGGTCTTTGGTTGGATGTGATTAGCAGGCACCCTAGACAATGAATGGCTGGATTCAACAGAGCCCTGACAACTAGAGGAGGGGAACCGCATTTCCCAAGCACAGCCACCAGAGGGCCACATCTGGCTGAGTTTCTAGCAGCTGTTTCCTTTGGATAGACTTGTCCTTGTAAATTTAAAACTAAAGCATCCTTCAGCTTTTTGAATCAAAAGCAATGAATTGATTGATTGTGAGTCAAGATTCGGTTATAATAAAAGCTATACGTAGTCAATTTGACTAATTAATGTTTCATATTAATCTTTGTAGGCCTCAGATAAATAAAGGAAATGGAAATAGTGTGGATCTGCAGTATCTTCTGCAAGAACCTGGGCTGTCTGTGTTTCAGCTAACACCAAGAGAATGTCTATTCCCTGGACTGGAGTAAAGGGTGCTGAGGATGAGGACTCTCACTTGCTGCCTGGATCTCTGTTTTCAATTACTGTACCTACCATGGATGTGCTGATGTCCTGTCTCAATAAAAGTAAGAGTCATGAAGTAAAAAGGCAAAACCCATGTAAAATAAGAATGACTTGGATGTATTTCAAGGACTTTTCAATATCGGAGTTGGTTTTGTTTTTATTATCACCATGGCTCACCATTGCTTCAATTGAGCCAAATGCATGTTGAACCAGACAAGTCATTTCATAGCTTAAGTGCTGCAAGGTCACCATGATTCCAGTCCTTAAAGAAAGGTGAGGGATAATAACCTGCTGAAATAGCGCTTGCATTGCGAGGTAAAAACAAGGAGAAAACACAGAGAAAATGTAAGGGAACAGGCCAAAGAGAGGAACCCAGGCTTGCAGAGTAAAGAGCGGAAAATCGCCAGGAGGTGGACAGGTGAAGACCAGTAGAGAAAAGGCCCTGGGCGTGGCTTGGAAGCAGCGCAAAGACTGCGAACCAGATCCTGCTCCAGGGAAACATGCTCGGCTGACAGGTTTGCCCTGGGCTGTCAGTGTCATGTCAGAGACTTACTTTACCATGTCTCACAGAAACGTCCAAGCTGTACAGACCAAGCTCACAGACAGTGCTGCAAGAAACCAGGGGCAGTGACTAATTCATGGGAGGGTCCAGGGGTATTTTTCAAGGCACTCTTGAAAAGTAGGTGATGTTGGACAGATGAGGTGGGACACCGAGAAATTTTCAGGAAGCAGGTTTACTTAAGCCATAGCAGTCCAGAAGGGCTAATACCTAAGTATCTCTGGACCCTGAGTCTGGAAATTCCTTTGGATTTATATTCAGTGGGGTGGTTACATGACAATAGGTTAGGCTAGATAGAGGTTTCACAAAGTGTTTACCAAGAAAACAGAGATGGTATCTGTAGCATAGCAACAAGCTCTCTTTGAGACAGACTCCATCACAACTTTAGTCTGCAAACCGGGCACTTACAAGGAAAAGGAAGCTTCAAACCACAGTGCTGTCTGCAGAAATCCTGCTGACATCTGTAAAGATCTTGTTGATCAAGAGAGAAACTTGTATGCTACAGTTATGGTAGGGGGGTCTCTTTGATGGGGGATACCTGGTCTGTATCATAGGTAGATGTCTTTTAGGTAGAGATGGAGGAAACAGT